TCTATTGCTTCCTCATACACCGTGTATTCTACTCACTCATTCTGTTTGCCAGCTTTCCTGCACTAGAATGTGAGATCTAAGAGGGCAGAGATTTTGTCTGTTTTGCTCACCTCTGTATTCTCTGCACTTAAGAACGGTGCCTGGCAGCCAGTAGGTGCTCAGTACATACTACTTGAATGAATGAATCCCCATTCAGTTTCATCTTGGTGATTTCCTGCCAATCTCTGGAGATCCTTCTGATTCTCAATTCTCTTCTTTGAAACAATAGTCATCCCCTGCAACCTGCCCACCCATTCATTTGGGAAATGTGGTTTCATTACTCTATGTGCACATGAGTATGTGTTATTGAGCATCTACTATTGGCTGAACAATCAGCTAAGTGATACAGGAGATACACAATGCATAAGCCGCCTCCCCAACCTGAAGGAGTGTGCAGTCTCATGGAAGATACACACATGAGCACAGAAACCAAGAGGAGGAAGGAGCTGAGAGGTTCTGTCCTGGTTGCAAGTTGGCATGTTGGTGTGGTGGGGGGAGTTCCTATTGCTCCAGCGGCCCGGTCTTGAAGAAAAGCAAGGACAAGGCCCCGTGGCGTGCTCTTCTTAGAAACCCTCCCTCTGTTTGGGAATCTACCCAGCTGTACTTTTCTCCAGATCCCACTTTTGCCATCTTGCCTTCAAGAACATCAGAAAATTTGTCAAATGTCTCATTGAATCCCAGAGAGCCTCTGTGGGACCTACAATAACTATGAAGATCACATTGTCACTGGGTGTTGTGGCTCACACCTGTAATCCCAGCACTTTGGGAGGCCAAGGCGGGTGGATCGCTTGAGCTCAGGAGTTCAAGACCAGCCTGGGCAACATGGCAAAACCCCATCTCTACAAAACATACAAAAATCAGCCAGGTGTGGTGGTGCACACCTGTGGTTCCAGCTACTAAGGAGACAGAGGTGGAAGGATGTCTTAGCCCAGGAGGCGGTGGTTGCAGTGAGCCAAGATCATGCCACTCCACTCCAGTCTGGGCCACAGAGCTAGACCCTGTCAAAAAAAAAACAAAGATAACAATACTGAATGGGCAAAAACTGGAAGCATTCCCTTTGAAAACCAGCACAAGACAAGGATGCCTTCTCTCACCACTCCTATTCAATATAGTATTGGAAGTTCTGGCCAGGGCAATCAGGCAAGAGAAAGAAATAAAGGGTATTCAATTAGGAAAAGAGGAAGTCAAATTGTCTGTGTTTGCAGATGACATGATCGTATATTTAGAAAACCCCATCATCTCAACCCAAAATCTCCTTAAACTGATAAGCACCTTCAGCAAAGTCTCAGGATACAAAATCAATGTGCAAAAATCACAAGCATTCCTATACACCAAGAACAGATAAACAGCCAAATCATGAGTAAACTCTCATTCACAATTGCTACGAAGAGAATAAAATACCTAGGAATCCAGCTTACAAGGGATGTGAGGGACCTCTTCAAGGAGAACTACAAATCACACTGCTCAAGGAAATAAGAGAGGACACAAACAAATGGAAAAACATTCCATGCTCATGGATAGGAAGAATCAATATCATGAAAATGGCCACACTGCCCAAGGTAATTTATAGATTCAATGCTATCCCCATCAAGCTACCACTGACTTTCTTCACAGAATTGGGAAAAAAAACTACTTTAAATTTCAGATGAAACCAAAAAAGAGCCTGCATAGCCAAGACAATCCTAAGCAAAAAGAACAAAGCTGGAGGCATCATGCTACCTGACTTCAACCTATACTACAAGGGTACAGTAACCAAAACAGCATGGTACTGGTACCAAAACAGATACATAGACCAATGGAACAGAACAGAGGTCTCAGAAATAACACCATACATCTAAAACCATCTGATTTTTGACAAACCTGACAAAAACAAGCAATGTGGAAAGGATTCCCTATTTAATAAATGGTGCTGGGAAAACTGGCTAGCCATATATAGAAAGCTGAAACTGGATCCCTTCCTTACGCCTTACACAAAAATTAACTCAAGATGGATTAGAGACTTAAATGTAAGACCTAAAACCATAAAAACCCTAGAAGAAAACCTAGGCAATACCATTCAGGACATAGGCATGGGCAAAGACTTCATGCCTGAAACACCAAAAGCAATGGCAAAGAAAGCCAAAATAGATAAATGGGATCTAATTAAATTAAAGAGCTTCTGCACAGCAAAAGAAACTATCATCAGTGTGAACAGGCTCAGTGTGAACTGAACCTACAGATTGGGAGAAAATTTTTGCAATCTACTCATCTGACAAAGGGCTAATATCCAGAACCTACAAAGAACTTAAACAAATTTACAGGAAAAAAGCAAACAACCCCATCAAACAGTGGGCAAAGGATATAAACAGACACTTCTCAAAAGAAGACATTTATGCAGCCAACAGACTTATGAAAAAATGCTCATCATCACTGGTCATCAGAGAAATGCAAATCAAAACCACGATGAGATACCATCTCATGCCAGCTAGAATGGTAATCATTAAAAAGTCAGGAAACAACAGATGCTGGAGAGGATGTGGAGAAATGGGAATACTTTTACACTGTTGGTGGGAATGTAAATTAGTTCAACCATGTGGAAGACAGTGTGGCGATTCCTCAAGGATCTAGAACTAGAAATACCACTTGACCCAGCAATCCCGTTCCTGGGTATATGCCCAAAGGGCAACAAATCATGCTACTATAAAGACCCATGGTATAAAGGCACATATACACCATGGAATACTGTGCAGCCATTGAAAAAGGATGAGTTCATATCCTTTTGCAGGGACATGGATGAAGCTGGAAACCATCATTCTCAGCAAAATATCACAAGGACAGAAAACCAAACACCACATGTTCTCACTCATAAGTGGGAGTTGAACAATGAGAACACATGGACACAGGGAGAGGAACATCACACACTGGGGCCTGCTGGGGGCTGGGGGGCTGGGGGAGGGATAGCGTTAGGAGAAATACCTGATGTAATGATGTAAATGATGATGTACATGTAAATGATGAGGTCATGATGCGTCAAACCATCATGGCACATGTATACCTATGTAACATACCTGCACATTGTGCACTTGTACCCTAAAACTTAAAGTATAATAATAAAAAAAAATTTTAAAGTTAACATTATCAGTGAGCTGTTTTATCCAAAGATCAAACAATAAATGGGGACTTTATGACAGGCCCGGTTCTCAGAACTTACATATAATAAGCATTTAGTGTTTACATTTACACTCCAACTTTAAAACATTTAATGCTAACAACTCTATGAAGTAGGTACTTTACATCACCATCTTACAGACGAGGAAACTTACAGAAAGGGACATGAAGAGAACAATAATGGTAAATGGCAGAGCCAGGATTTGGACACATGCTGCAGGCTTCAGAGTCTTTGCACTTTACCACCACACTGTGTTCCTCTCAGAGACCCAGGAATGTCAGTGTTAAAGGTTACCTTAGCCAACTGAAGCCCAGAGAAGTGGAGCAATGTACCTAAGGTCACACAGCAGATCCCAAACTGAAACTCATCCCTCAACAATCATTCACGCAGCATTTAGTAAGTATCACCAGATGCCAGGCACCATGGGAGCCCAGGTTCAATGAAGATTAATCAAAGTCTCTGCATTGGAGGAACTTGCAGTCTGGTGAGGGAGAGGAAGGGTTGGGAAACTGGGGAACCTACGTGAAAACCAGTAAGGGCAATAGAGTATTGGAGGCACCATTTCAGAGACTGTGGAAGGCTGCGTATTTTCTTGAAGCAGAAGCAGCAGGCATTCTTATTCTTGGCATGCTCCAAGAAAAAACAAAAGTCATCTCCTGGGGTCTAGAGCCTCCAGGCACAAAGGGAGCAGAGTGTAGGCTGGGAGGTGAGGATGGAGCTCTGCCTGGACGAGGGGGAGGCTGGCCCACCCACACGCGTTCAGGTCCCCTGGCTTTTACAGGCCAAGGAAAGGCTTGGCTACTGTCGTGTTGTTTGAGAGGGACTGCACAGAAAAGGCTGCTGTGTCCTGCCCCTGCCTTTGGTCAGCCTCCGCTCCCTCACCATGGACACCCCAGTGACCTCCCTGATCCAGGCACCATGGAAGCTTCTCTCCGTTTTTGGCTTTTGCAGCTGAGAAGTGCATGCCGAATTCTAAGCCAGGATATCCTGACTATCCTGAACATCGGTCATTGGCATTCAACCTTTACCATCAAGCTGCATTGACCAAATTCCATAGGTATTATGGCATACTTAAGAGTTTTCTTTAGGCCGGGCGTGGTGGTTCATGCCTGTAATCTCAGCACTTTGGGAGGCCAAGGCAGGTAGATCACAAGGTCAGGAGATCGAGACCATCCTGCCTAACACAGTGAAAACCCATCTCTACTAAAAACACAAAAATTAGCCAGGCGTGGTGGCAGGCGCCTGTAGTCCCAGGTACTCGGGAGGCTGAGGCAGGAGAATGGCATGAACCTGGAAGGCAGAGTGCAGTGAGCCGAGACCACACCGCAGCACTCCAGCCTGGGCAACAGAGCAAGACTCCGTCTCAAAAAAAAAAAAAAAGTTTTCTTTAAATCAAATCTAAATCAGTTCACTTTTTTCTTATCCTGACCCTAAACAATAACAGCCTTGAAATCTTGACTTCTGTGTGCTAATTCTTAATGCTCTATTTCATATTCAAATAAAACATAACTATTAAAATGTATGACATTTGGCTGGGCGCAGTGGCTCACACCTGTAATCCCAACACTTTGGGAGGCCGAGGCGGGTGGATCACCTGAGGTCGGGAGTTCAAGACCAGTCTGACCAACATGGTGAAACTCCACCTCTACTAAAAATACAAAACTAGCCAGGCATGGTGGCGCATGCTTGTAATCCCATCTCCTCGGGAGGCTGAGGCGGGAGAATTGCTTGAACCTGGAGATGGAGGTTGCGGTGATCAGAAATCACGCCATTGCAATCCAGCCTGGGCGACAGAGCGAAACTCCATCTCAAAAAAAAAAAAAAAAGTAAGACATTTGTCTTTGCGTCACCTGAGTCCATCTTGTGTTTCTTCAGTGGCTTACACAGTACCTTGAGGAAGGGCTCTAAGTTCCTCCAAAGCCAGGAAGGGCAAAGATGAATGTGGCTATTCTCTGACTTCTAGCACCAATCTTGACCTGTCGGGCAAGAGAGAAAGAAGGGAGAAGATTACAGAGTGCACCCCTTCTCTACCCCATACCCAGGCAGAGCACACTCTGGCATTCTCTGCCCCTGGTACCCTCCTGCCTGGGAGGTAGCTACCCAGGCTACCCAGGTAGCCCTGCTCCTGTCACTGAACTGGAAGTGAAGGAAAGTGGCACCCACCCAGGCAATGGGTTCACTGCAACAGGGAAAGGGTACCCCACAGGTAAGCCAAGCTGCTGCCTCTGCAGCCCCTCCATGCCCAGGTAGAGAGGCCCCGAAACCCACAAGAAGGGCATTCCTAAGGCAGAGACCTTGGAGAGAAAAGATTAGCAAAACATTGCCTGGGAGTCCAGAACTGAAGTATATGTCTCCAAGTTGAGGGTGGGAGTGAGGGATGATGCCAAACTTTGGAATAATAATGGCCCTTTTACCCATAGTGGCTAATATGATCATGTTCTACAACACACTTTTAAAAATACTATTGGGGGTTGGGCACAGTGGTTCACGCCTGTAATCCCAGCACTTTGGGAGGTCAAAGAGGGCAGATCACTTGAGACCAGGAATTCAAGATCAGCATGGCCAACATGGTGAAACCCCATCTCTACTAAAAACACAAAATTAGCTGGGTGTGGTGGCACATGCCTGTAATCCCAGCTATTCAGGAGGCTAAGGCAGGAGAATCACTCGAACCCCAGAGGTGGAGGTTGCAGTGAGCAGAGATCACACCACTGCACTCCAGCCTGGGCAACAGAGTGAGATTCCCTCTCAAAAAAATAAATAAATAAAAATACTATTGGGAACTCTCTGAGTGCCAATCACTGGGCTGGACCTGTGCAGATCCTTCATCTTCTTTTATCTTCACCACAATCTGAGATGTGGGTATTATTCTTGCTCGCTCTACAGACACAGAAACAAAACAATTGTCCAAGATCTCAAAGATGGAAAGAGGCCAAGTTAGAATAAAAACCCAGATCTTCTAAACATACACTGCCCCAATAGTCTTCCCAGGAACACTGTACAGCCTTCATGTAGTACATATGTGTACATGTTTCCTATATAACAAAGAAACCAGAAGTTTCCCTGGTGCTGGGGGCTATGGGGAGAGCACAAGGGAGAAGACACCAGCTCCCACTCTGCTGCAACACATAGCACTCTTCTCAGGGATGGGGCAGTGGTGTGTTATTGTTACACAAGGGGCTCTCTGTTGGGGAGGGAAGATAAGTCTCTTCTGTAGTGTTTGCCGTTTTCCATGGTGCAAATATTCCATGGCTGATTTCAAGCTGCCACCATGATGTCACTGAATGCAGAGCTGGGAAGAGACGCACACAACCAGGTCTCCTGAGTTTGCTCAAGCAGGCCCAGCACACCATGGGCCAGGATGAGGAAAGGGAGACTGTCCCAGGCTGGGAGTCAGGAATACACATCCAGGAACAAACTGCTGGTGTCTGAGACAGGAAGGGGATTGGACAGAGCTTCCGACTCTGGGGGCCCCTGAGAGGAGAAGAGGGAAGTGTTCAGACAAGAACTTGAGTTGAGAGTCCAGACATGCCCATCCAGGGCTTAGTACCCAGCCATTACCACCCTGACCCAATCAGGTTCAACCAGTTGGGTGCCCTGCCGCTAGCAACAGCTCCTGATTTGGAAAATATTATGAGACCTGTTACTAAGGACAGCCTCCTAACACCCCAGAGGGTGAAGGGCAACTTCCAGGGGAAAGTTATCAGGATTCCTACACCCTGGGGATGTTCAGTGAAAGCTGCAGCAGGAACTCCCGGACCAGGAGACAGAGTAGGGGGTTACATGGACCAGCTCCCTCCCCGTCAACCGTCTCACCAGCCTCTCTCCTGTGGTCATCTGAGTGCTGTGCCCTGGGTGTTGGAAGTGAGGTTCTGCCCGTCTTCAAGGAACTTCCATCTGAGAGGAGATCCGTATTTTCAAAACTGCAAGCTACAACCCACTAGTGGATTGTGAAATCAATTGCATGAGTCTTTACCAGCACATGAGTGTGCATCACAGGTAGTAAGGGTAATATTGCACCATGAAATTTTGTTCTGTGTGTGTGTGTGCGCATGCAGAACTGTAATATAAAATGAATTTATTATTAGAGATCATTGTTCAAAAACAATTTCAGAAATTCCCTGACAAAGGAAGTCGTCCCCACACCCAAACACACACAAACCCAAGAAAATAAGACCAGAAACAGGAGCAGCGTTAGGTGTCACGACTTGGGGATAGAACATAGAGGGGAAGTCTGGGACACTTTTCCAAAGGAGAAAAGTAATGAAAAGCAGAGTTGGAAAGGGGAAACTAAGAAACTGACGAATCTCTCCCAATCTATCCTGGAAGGGAGAGGAAATTCTCTTAATATCTAATCCCTAAACCCACTGATGTGCTCTTCCCTGCAGCCCACCCACTCCTCAAAAGGAAAACTCACAGCTCCCTCCTCCAGGTAACCACCTTTCCTGGGTCACGACAGTGACACAGCTGGTCGGGGCTAGGGAGGGTGGAGTGAGCTGGGCTCGGGGGCACAGATGGCAGCATGCTGGGCACAGCCAGGCAGGAGGGCCCAGCGCTGCGGGTGCTGGGGCAACACAGAACCATATCAGATTCATGCCTGCCCTTGGGAAACGTAGACTCTAGTTAAGAAGACCAAAGTAGGCCGGGCGCAGTAGCTCACGCCTGTAATACCAGCACTTTGGGAGGCCAAGGTGAATGGATCACAAGGTTAGGAGTTCGAGACCAGCCTGGAGAGCATGGCGAAAGCCCGTCTCCACTAAAAATACAAAAATTAGCCAGGTGTGGTGGCACGTGCCTGTATTCCCAGCTACTTGGGAGGCTGAGGCAGGAGAATCTCTTGAACTTGGGAGGCGGAGGTTGCAGTGAGACAAGATCGCACCATTGCACTCCAGCCTGGGTGACAGAGCAAGACTCTGTCTCAAAAAAAAAAAAAAAAAAAGACCAAAGTAACACATGCCTAGAGCAACCCAACAGCAGAAACATCCCACAGGGGCGTAACACTTGCCAGTGCAGAATGGCAGAGCAGTGAGATCTTGCAGATCATCTCGTCCAACATGCTGTTTCACTGCAGAAGAAACAAGCCCAGAGAGGAAGAGCAACAGGCCAAGGACACATAAGAAGGATGGGACTAGAGTCCACTAGGCCAGGACTCATTTCATCTTGCAATATGGACAGCCTGGAACAAACCCTGAGAGTAGGATGGAGACACAGGAAGGGGGACCTCAACATCCCACTTCAGACAAGCTCATTCATACTATTATCCACCCATCAACACTGACTGGGCACTTCTCAGTGCCAAGCACTGTGCTGGGTGCTTCAGATGCAACGAATAATCCCATCTAGGGGAGAGCGGAGTGCACCTGCTGCCCTCCAGGAAAGAACACGGGCTCTGTGACCTCGCTGACTGGTTGCAGCCTCCTTTATCATCAGGAAACTCTCAGGTCTAACCTCACTCCTTCCTGCTGCAACATCAGCCCAGTTCCCCTTGGCCCCAGAGGCACTGCTTGCTGGCCTGACCTGGCAGGTGGGGAGGGTGCTTGTATGGCCCAGGGCCCTCTCCCGGCTCCTGAGTCAGCCTGATCCATTGTTCCAACGACTCTGCCTGCTAAGGTGGCTTGAAAGCCCAGAGAGCCCTGCCAGCTGAAGCTTGTGGGTGAAGAAGGGGCAGAAAGAGGGAGAACTGGGGAAGGCTGATGTTGGGTGGGGAAGCAGAGCGGGTAGAACAGGCAGGTCTCACCCACTGCCTGGCTTCTTAAAGTCAAAGTTTATAGGATTTTGTTGTTGTTGTTTGTTTGGTTTTTTATTGTTTTGTTTTGTTTTGTTGTTTTTCTGTTGTTGTTTGTTTTGAGATGGAGTTTCGCTCTTGTTGCCCAGGCTAGAAAGCAATGACATGATCTCGGCTCACTGCAACCTCTGCCTCCCAGGTTCAAGCCATTCTCCTGCCTCAGCCTCTGGAGTAGCTGGGATTACAGGCATGCGCCACCATGCCTGGCTAATTTTGTATTTTTATTAGAGATGGGGTTTCTCCTTGTTGGTCAGGCTGGTCTTGAACTCCAAACCACAGGTGATCCACCCACCTCAGTCTCCCAAAGTGCTGGGATTACAGGCATGAGCCACCACTTCCGGAAGAAAGTTTGTAGTTTTAAAGATGTAGAGGGGGCTTGGCACAGCGGTTCACACCTGTAATCCCAGCACTTTGGGAGGCTGAGGTGGGTGGATCACTTGAGGTCAGGAGTTCAAGACCAGCCTAACCAATATAGTGAAACCCCGTCTCTACTAAAAATACAAAAAAAATTAGCCAGGCGTGGTGGTGCACGCCCCTAGTCCCAGCTACTCAGGAGGCTGAGGCAGGAGAATCGCCTGAACCCAGGAGGCAGTTTGCAGTGAGCCAAAATCGTACCATGGCACTCCAGCCTGGACAACAGAGTGAGACTCCATCTAAAAAAAAAAAAAAAGATGTAGAGGGAGAGGGAGAAGATCCTAAGCCTTGTGGTGCTTCCTTCTCTTTATATAAATAATACTAACTCAGAATTGAAAATGTTAAATCGACAGACAATAAAATAAATCAGAAAAAATAAAACTCTTCTAAAATACTGTCACCTAGAAGTAGCCACTATTAACATTTTAGTGTTTAACCTTCCAGGTGTTTCTATGTATAAGTATCTTTCAATTTATTCAGTCATCACATATTTATTGGACACTTACTATGTGCCAGGCACTATTCTAACAATGGGGATATAGCAGTAAGCAAAACAGATCATTGCTGAGTGCAGTGGCTTATGCCTGTAATTCCAGCACTTTGGGAGGGCAAGACAGGAGGATGGCTTGAGTCCAAGAGTTTGAGGCCAGCCTAAGCAACATAGTGAGACTCTGTCTCTACAAAAAATCAAAAATTAGCTGAGCATGGTGGCACACACCTGTAGTCCCAGTTACTTGGAAGACTGACGTGGGAGTATCGTTTGAGCCTGGGAAGTCAAGGCTGTATTGAGCTATGATTGTAACACTGCACTCCAACCTGGACAGCAGAATAAGACCCTGCCTCTAAAAAAAAACATAAATAAGTAGAAGGGCCAGGAGTGGTGGCACACGCCTGTAATCCCAGCACTTCGGGAGGCCGAGGCGGGCGGATCACAAGGTCAGGAGGTTGAGACCATCCTGGCTAACACAGTGAAACCCCATCTCTACTAAAAATGCAAAAAATTAGCAGGCTATGGTGGCACGTGCCTGTAGTCCCAGCTATTTGGGAGGCTGAGGCAAGAGAATCGGTTGAACCCGGGAGGCAGAGGTTGCAATGAGCTGAGATCATGCCATTGCACTCCAGCCTGGGCAACAGAGCAAGACTCCATCTAAAAAAAAAAAAGTAGAAGGAATACATTCTAAAATAATGATAAAATAATGATAAAAAGTAGAGTAAATATACAAGCCAGTAACATAGTCCTTTACTATCATGATCAAGTATTATGTACTGTATGTAATTTCATGTGCTATAGATTGATACAATTGGCAGCACAGTAGGTTTTTTACACCAGCATCTTCACAAACACATGAGTAATGCCATTTGATACATTATGATGACTACGATGTCAATAGGCAAGAGGACTTTTTCTGTTCCATTATAATGTATGGAACCATTGTCATATATGCACCATATTTACAACAGAGACCTCGTTACGCAATGTGTGACCATACTCATGTGTCTGGTATAGCAGTATATTCTACTGCAATAGATGCATCATCCATTTATATTAATATGTATTTCCAGGCCGGGTGTGGTGGCTCACTCCTGTAATCCCAGCACTTTGGGAGGCCGTGGCAGGTGTTTAACTTGAGGTCAGGCGTTCGAGGCCAGCCTGGCCAACATGGTGAAACCCTGTCTCTACTAAAAATACAAAAATTAGCCAGGCATGGTGACAGGTGCCTATAATCCCAGCTACTGGGGAGGCTGAGGCAGGAGAATCACTTGAACCTGGGAGGCAGAGGTTGCAGTGAGCTGAGATCATGCTATTGCACTCCAGCCTGGGTGACAGAGTGGGCTCCATCTCAAAAAAAAAAAAAAAAAAAAAAAAAAAAAAAAAAAAGCCAGGCGCAGTGCCTCACACCTGTAATCCCAACACTTTAGGAAGTTGGGATGGGTGGATCATGATACGAGGTCAGGAGTTCAAGACCAGCCTGACCAACATGGTGAAACCCTGTCTCTAGTAAAAATACAAAAATTAGCCAGGCATGGTGGTGCACGCCTGTAACCCAGCTGAGGCAGGAGAATTGCTTAAACCTGGAAGGCAGAGGTTGCAGTGAGCCGAGATTGTGCCACTGCATTCCAGCCTGGGTGACAGAGTGAGACTCCATCTCAAAAAAAAAAAAAAAAATTGCATTTCCCATAAGTGGGATCATATTACACATATGAATTTTAGCAGGCTTTCCCCTCATCTCTATCAATAAACACATCCTTGGATTACTGTGAATGGCTTAGAATATTCTCTTGCACAGATTCTCAGGGGTTTTCACAAGTCCACCGCCTGATTTCTTTCCCAGAGGAGATACGAGCCTTGCTCTAGAAGCACCACCTGATCACAGACCTACACACGCACAGGCACACGATCACGCATACACACGCTGGAGTCCATAGGAGCCAGACGGTGCCTCACCAGACAGCGCAGTCTAATCCAGTCCTGCTTCCATACACCTTTCCAGGATTTTCCAGGGCCCAGACCCATTCCCAGTATTCCCTTGCAAGCGGGAGCAGGAGCCAGTTTCTCCCACTCTTGACTCCCCCTGCAGGTGGCCAGGATTCTTGCAATCCAGATACCTGAGAGCCGGGTTGGATGCCTGGAATGGAAGCAAGGGGCAGTTCATGATCTTCCTGGAAACCTCTTCTCTGCCACCACCTCCCTGGTGCC